GTGGGTGTGGGGTGTGCCTGTGAGTGTGCATGTGCGTGTGGGTGTGGCTGCGAAACACTTTCCCGCTACATCCCAACCTCCAACGGCATCCCACACTCTCACCCACACCCACCCACCCACACCCTACACCCCACACCCCACACACACACCCACACCCCACACACACACCCATACCCACACCCACACCCATACCCACACCCACACCCACACCCACACCCACCCTCGGGTACGTGTGTGGATGTGGGTGTTGCTAATGAAAAGTTTCAGGCTCACATCTACACCCCATAAATACCCATACCCACACCCTCCATGCACATTGATATGTTCATTATTGACTTGCTCAACTCTGTGAAAAAAATTACAGCTTAAATAATGCACTATATATAGGAAAACAAAGAAAACTTGAAAAACGTAAAACAAACCTTTTTCAGAAAGAAAAAGGTATCGCGATAGAATCATATTTTTTTAAATGGGCATGCTTTATCCAATTTTATTTCATCAAAAATTGAACTATAAGTTCTCAGAAAAAAAAATCTAGTGTGACCTGTAAGAAAACCAATCAAGGAAAAGCATTTTATGGACAATGTCTTTACTTATCAAAACATATGACGAAGACAATAATATAACCTAGCGAAACTGGAATGTTTCTATAAAAAAGTCAATTAGTTCCTTACATAACGCATTCATTCATATAGTTGACAACATTTTGTTTTTGAGTAATAATGAACGACAAGGTATTCTTCTCTTATTATGTATTCATTTATGTCAAATTACGATTGTTCTATTCAATGATTATCTTCCTAATTTAAGAATATCATCGACACAGAAAACTGTTTAAAGGTTCCACGTTGATAATCACTAAAAGATACTGTCAGAACTATTATTTTTCTACGTATTAAAACACCAAATAAAGTTGTTGACGGTATTTGCATGATAACTGTATCTTTGCGTCGACATTGCGACTCATCAGACTAATAATAAATAAATCGTCCTCATCTATCAATTTGCTTTCTACTTTGTTAATGTACTTTTTTTTCTGTGGTATATGTCTGTCTTGCCATGCTCTGTCTTTCTCTTCCTCGATACACTATTAATATCAGCTTGGCATTATATATTGCGACCAAAAGATAGAGAATGTAAAAGATCGCATTCGCTTTCTGCTTGCACCCTATCAACGTTCTCATTGATTTTCTGTTTCTATACACGTGGCTGTCGCATTGCTTCTTGAAACATTTCTAGCAATGTCTCGTCTTATATTTGTGGTTGCTTTGCTACTCTCAAATGCTGAAAGTAAACCAACAGCTAAATCGAAGAAAAGTATTGAAGACTTCCATTTGAATTTGTACAAGTCTGTAGTCTCCACAAAACCAGACGATAATGTATTTCTGTCACCTTACTCTATCAGTCTCGCTCTTACTATGGTTACTGGAGGTGCACGAGGCAAAACAGAAAAAGAACTTCTCAATCTTCTACAAGTTCCGTCTCGTGACAAATTGGATCCATTAGTTAAGCAACTAATGAGTATTAGCCGTCTACCTGAAATCAAATTGGCTAATCGGCTCTACCCAGATGACGATTTTCCGATTCTACCCACCTTTAAAAACCGATTGCAAAAGCTTTATAACAGTACACTAGTATCCGTTGATCTTAATGCAAAAGATGCTACGCCTGCTATCGATGAAATCAATACATGGGTGTCTAATCAAACCGGCGGTCATATCAAGAAGGCATTAGACAAAAATGATCTTGCTAGAAATAAATCAACCACAATGAATGCTCTTCTAATGATCAACTGTCTGTTATTTGATGGTATATTTTTCTTTTCCTCTTTTTTTCTCAAATATTTTCGTCGATTTTTTTTAGCAAAATGGCAAAGAGGATTTCAAGGACAAAACACCAGAGATGGCAATACATTCTATCCAGATATAGGTCCACCACAAGAGAAAAAACTTACCTTAATGATGCGAAATGGTTTGTTTCCTTACGTTGATTTAACATCGGAAATTGGTGCTCGAATGATTCATTTACCATTTGAAAACAACGATCTCATCTTTACTATTGTTCTACCAAATAAAGGTATTACATTATCTCAAGTTGAATAAAATCTCACTTCGGCATTACTCAATACACCGACTACTACTAATCATAATGTATTTGTTTGGATACCAAAATGGAAATTTGAATTCGAAAGTAAACTAGAAAATGTATTAAAGACTAAAATGAATGTAAACGATATATTGGACGCTAACAAAGCCAATTTGAAAGGACTATCATTGAAGAAAAAGATCTACTTATCCAATTTGATTCACAAGTATGTTCATTTATCAAATTGAATATGATCAATATTTCGACTTGTTCTAGAACTTATGTAATTGTTGATGAGAAAGGTGTACGAGCTGGTGAGTATCAGTTGTTATTTCTTGTTTTTCTTGGATAATTTATCTTCTCTATGAATAGCGGCTACGTCTATTGTACGAATCATGTTATCGACTAGTTCACGACCGGATATTCAATTTCTTTGTAATAAACCATTTCTCTATGCAATTCGATACAAACAGACAACATTGTTTATGGGACGATATGTCAAAGTGATTGACACGAGCAATATGCCACCAATCATCGATGGCGGACGTGGTTAACATGAGACTTCGGATGTAGATGTGCGTGCTAATCTATCATGTACCAACACCTTCAACAGCCACATCCTTCTATTTCTCTTTCTTTGTTTACTTCTTTCTCTTCTATAAGCTATAATATAAGCTCATCAGCATTCTCATTTTATTGTATACCTTAGTGTGTATCGTGATCAGCAGAAATAAAAACGAATAAATTTTGAAAGTATTAGTTTTTGTTTGATGATTCATCGAGAGTAGCAAAGCGGATTATTTCACCTTACACTTGTGAACCATCATCTTTCTTGTAAAACAACGCAATCGTATCAATGATTGTTTAAATTGATGGAAGACAGTAAAAAATATTTTCAAAGTCAGAAAAAGAAGAACAGACATGTCCGAGACTAAGAATAATCAACTGATACTATTATAACTATTTACAAATCGAAGTTCATCATGCTATTCAGGTATAACAACTTGTTTGAAACAACATGATAAAAAAAATTTTACTGTAAAAGATATGTTCGATGCATTAACAACAAAAGCAGATGTCGGAAGAACACAATCATATTACCTATTCTATATTCTTTTATTTAGAAGTGGAATCAAAGCAAGTATATTTGAGCCGATCTTTATGGCGTAAACTTTTTAATAATAATTTTTATTAGTCCTACCATGAAATGTTCTCACTATATTTCTATACTTTATTTTTCTAAATGCACAACAGGTCTTCACAAGCAATGATCTATGTGCTGCAGCACTAGCTTTTTGAAAGAAACAGAAATCATATATCTAATATATATGTTATAGTCCAAATTAGAATGCAGACCGAGTCAGAATTCGTCTAGACGAAATTGGAATAATTTGTCAATGAATGAAAAAAGATGACTAGCCTCAATAACTATATTATTGAAAAAACTGAAAAAAATGATTGTTTTTTACATAAATTAATATGTCAATATGATGTTCTGGAGAATGCATTTGAAGTTGGACAGTTTGTGAATTTAAAAGACGCTTGTCCCAATGAATTGAAACAAATGGATGTTGATAATTTTAAAAACCATCACTCTTATTGAAGCCTTAAAGCCTGATTTTCGTGGTTCCACAACTGGACACATATGTAACTGTCGTGGTAAATGTGCAAATCGAACTTGTCCATGTAAAAAAGCAAATGTGTTCAGCTCTATCAAATGTCATTCAAAAAGAGGTTGATGTTCAAACATGGATTAACATAATTTTGGATTTATATAATATTTGTTTAAAAGATTTGTAACATAAAATGGTGGTTGGTACTTTAATTATGTCTTTCTTTACCTTTTTTTCATTCATTGACAAATTATTTCAATTTCGCCTAGTCCAAATTAGAATTCTAATTTTGTTTGAACGAATTCTGAATCGGCCTGAATTCTAATTTGGGCCATAACATACATATGCGTAAATGACAAAATTTGCACCCTAAGTTTTAGGCAAGTAATTAAAAAAAAGTTGATGAATAAGAAATATTGAAAATCGTTCTTGCATGAAATTACCTTTTTGCATTTCAGATGTATACTATTTTCACTAGATCTACCATTAGAAATATCCGCATTGTTTTGGATGACTAATATCAACAATACTACTTTATTCGAAAGTCTTCCACAATACCCTAATATGGCTGTCATGGACCACAGACAATTTTAAAAGATTCTTCACTCTAAAACTTTAGCAATACGAAATCTCATTTCATCTCTATTTCAGATATCTGAACTATGGAAAAAACTTTTACGTAAAGGCCATTGTAGCTCCGGTTTTGCTAAAGCCGGAATCTACCCGTTTGATCCATTTGCAGTTAGCCAGGATACAATTTTGTGCCACCAACGACAACGACGACGGCTTCAGCTACTACAAATTCTAAGGTATCAAGTTCAGGCGATTCTGCCGTCATCAATAGTTCTAGTCAGTGTCTTCGTCGGTCTGCAGCATGTTATCATTTGTCAAATATTTGTAAGTAGCATTTGTTAATAACTTTTTAAAGTTGCTACATGATATATCTGTTATATTAGCGTTTGATTTGATGGCAACAGTCTTATGTCATGAACCTAATAATTCTCTTTCGAATTCAATCTCAGCACTGTCAACATCACTTATTACAAGTTGGTATTGTTTTATTAGATTTTCGATTCATACCTAGTTTCAGATGAATGCTCCATATATATACCTTCTTCAGGAATCTATTGAGAATATTATCAAGACAGAAAAAAATAAAATAGCTTGAAATAGAACATATTCTTTCATCACTTATATCGAAAATGACGAAGCTTTATTTTCGCTGTAATTTTAGGTAACACAACGTGTAGTATAACCGATAATTCTAATATTAGCTACCACAAAGCAATATCGTCTACCTATAGCAAGTTTTCTACCTTATTTATATCTAGACATATCTTTATGTACAATTCTGGTACTTATTAAAATGAAGCTTCACTCAACAATATGGATAACATGAAAACTATTAATTCATCATCAGCATCAATTAATGAAAGCAGTGAGGATTAATTTAATTTTCTATTAATTTCACTTTGTTTTTGTTATCCTTCCAGATCAGTCGTCGCCTTACAGACCTATGTATACTGATTTCACAAATGTGCTTCTTCAATCTTCAAGTGATTGAGAAATAAGTTCTCGAACATTCAAGTGCATTTCAATTATTTTCCAGGGATGCAATTCTATCCACCAGCAATAACATCATCTTTAATACCAACGTCATTCATTTCTCCAACTTCTCCAAATATAGATTTTCTAAATAATTCTACATTAGCTGCACCATTGTCTGAATCTCAAAACAATTCGTTAGCAAACATTACTTCATCTGATTCTTCACAAAAGGCAATAGATGTATTAGCTAATGTTATTCAAAAGTATATGTCATCAACAGTTTCACAAACGTCACACACAAAGAAAAGAAAAATGATTGAACGTGAAAATGGTGAAAGTATTACTACCATGGATGTTCTGATGCGATTACAACAAAAACAACGGAAAACGACAAGCCTTGCAAGACCAGGCTTACTGCATCTAATGGAACGAAGAAACGGTTAGTTATGTAAAGCTTTTCTTCAATATTATGTTTCTAGAGTCAAAACAAAAGTACTTAGTTAAAGATAAAAAATATTAATCAGCGAACAGACAGCTATTTAATTTCAATATAAAACTTTATTTTAGTGCCAATGAAAGGTTTATATTAAGAGTCTACAACAAGGTTTCTTTGCGAAATATGTTTTCCTACATATGTGACTTCTTTTTAGTTCGCGTAAGTTTCAAAATCCACAACAACTTCTCAATGACATTGATGATATGAATGAAAGTAACTCATTACAGTATCCAGCTGGTTCTGTTTCTACTGCAATAATGTGTCAAAATAATATGGCAGCACAATCAAATCCATACACCACATGCTGCTACCGATGCTATGCAATTGTTTATACGAATTTTACCTGTTGTGTAAAATGTAATCGATATTGTTGTAACCAATGTAAACAAACGTTTTTCACATCTAGCACGGTATTCTGTGAATACTGTATGATTCAAGAAGCTCTTACAAGTGCTCGAAAGTAAAACAGGATTTAGGTTAATTTATTTTTTCTTGATTGTTACATTCTATCCTACCAAAGAAATAATATCGTGCTTATTTTATGCTTTTATTCACTGAAATGTGGTAACTTACTATATTTATTGCGTGTTCTAATAGTTTATGTTTTTTTTTTCTTATCAATTTGTTATATTTGTTGATGTACTTGCAAATAAGTTTGAAAAAAATGGAAATATTTTGAAAGATTAGCATTTTTTATTATTCATCCTTTGAATATTAAAGATATAAATCTAGTGATCATTTTTGAAAATGTATAGATGTGTGTAACTCGATGAGAGGAATATTTTGATTGGTAAAAGTAATAGAAAATGATGTTTATTTCTCGCAAAAGCTGAGTTTTAAGGATTTCAGTTAAATTGACTGAGTTTGCCAAATTATCTCCAATATTTAAATTGATTGCCAAGATACTCCATGTCCATGTGGGATAATGTGGCACAAATTTGTTTTTAGTGGTCTTTTTTTAAATGATGCAGTTCACGTTGAGTAAGAAACTTAAAACAAAGATTAGTATTCACTCGTAGAGAAATGTTTCCGCTATTCAGTGATTTATTTTTTATCGAAAAAAAAGATTTAAAATAGCTTTCAAAAATAGCTTTTATTTATTATACACAAAAATTGCTGAGATTGCCAAATTACCCCGTCGGGGTAATCTGGCACAGCCTCTAGTAGATCCGATTAAAATGACTGTGGAAAACTTACGAAACAAGATTTCAGAAACGAAATGTACCGTTGAATTGAGAAATGTTTTTTCAATATTTTTTTTGTTTCAAAAGTCTTTCTATCGTTTAAAATAAAAAAGTTATGAGCAATACACTGAAAAACTTTAATTTCTTGTTCCATTTTACCCCATCCTACTCTACATACACTTGTTTCAAAACATTTCTTTTTAATAATAGATAGCAGACGAATAGTTAGAAATTTTCTATCTTATGGGCGGATGGGTGTCTAGGCGTCAGAGGAATACCAACAGCAACACCCATACTCTGAAGTCGAAAGTACTGGTAATCTACGGATTTTTATATAAAATTATTGACTGCTCTTGCACTTAGGTATTAATGAACTCACCGAAGAAGACAAATCTAGTGTGATTCTAATGTGATTCATAAATTTCAATAAGATTCTAAAAATATAGCACCTTAAAAACTTGATTCCATGGTTAGAATTCTGTCTGTATGAGTATGAAGGTAATTGGACGTACATCGTGCATAGTCTATTTCTTCATGTTATTGACAGTATTCTTATTTTATGTAACAACCTATTTAATCTTTTAACACATCTTGCGATATTTTCTCTGCATTGATGCACAAGTACTCGCAGATGATCAGGACAGGGATGAAAAAAGAAAAAAACTAGTCAAACAAAAATGATCAGCTTGACGATGTTCTTTTTCTTACGAAAAAGTAATGATAAATCAATAGAAAAATGTTTTTTTCTTTTGGTTAGAAAACAGGAAATAGGTTGTAGCAAGCTAAGAATTAGACATCATTTTTAAGTTTTTTTTGAATGAACAAAAGTTGTTTTAATTTCTTGGCAAAATAGAGAGGGTTGAATGTTTGTATTCATAAAACAACGACAGACGGATATTTTAATTATTAGTTTCATTTAATGCAACGCTTTTGCTGTTCTTTAATATGTGGAAGCTCTCAATAGCATAAACTGCCTCTTGCGCTAGATGTTCTTACATTTAAAGAGAAAGGAGAAGTAAAAATGCCAGATGTCGATTTTCATCACACTGCTATGTCACGGAAGAAGTAGTACCAAATCATCAGTTTATGCTGTTCTACTTTAATATTGCCTTCGAAAAAGAATTACCAGTTTTTTTTTTGATGTTTCAACGAATCAAATTTTACTTTGAAGAATGAAATGAATGTAAAGAAAAAAAGAAAGTAAATTATATCATCTCATTTTTAGTTAAAAAATATAGAGAATGGGGCCGTTTCAAACAAAGTGCACTTCATAAAATTAATTTAAGTAATTAAACATTTGGTAAGTATGGCCATAAGTATAGAATTGAAGGTTCTTCACTTTTGACTGACAGTTCGAAGTGCTTTTTCCATTGATATAATTTACAAAAAGATTTCTATATGAATTTATTTTAGTCTACGAAACTATGCATTTTCGTTTTACAAAAAATTATTTGCAGAAAATTTAAATAATGATCATCTACTCAATTGTCCTGCTAGTATGCCAGAAGATATAAACATGGCAGCCAAGAAAAAGAGTAGACGATATGGCCGTTTTTTTCGCATCAAAAATTGTACGGTATTTTTCTGTCAAAATCGATTCGACAGAGACTTCTGATAATATTGCAAACTAAATCTTTAGAATATCATCAGGAGTCTCCTTTGAATTATTTGTAACAGAAAAAACAATTTATGAAGTCTTTGATCTATAGCTTTTAAAGCTAAGGAACGAATGTCGACTCCTATGTCTCTTCAATAGAAGAGTACTGAAAGAAAATTTTCTCGTCAGAAGATGATTTTTCCTTCTTTCCAGTCATATTACTTATGTTTATTGTATGCCCATAAAGGGTATGAGTGTAAGTATTAGTCTTCTCTTGTATAACACACCAATAGCCTGAGCAAGATAATGCAGAAGTTTGTTAAAAAACAGAATCTTATTGAAGCAATGTTGAAGGAGTGTCTATCTCTTCTGTTTTTTTTTCTCTTTATAATTTTAGATAAAATCCTTTCAAGATAATACGATAACAGACGAAGCGAGTGAGCAGATCTAGACAATGGTTTCCGTCACCTCATCTCATTTCTGTGTAAACAGCTATATATTATTGCAATTGTTACTTGTCGTTGACATCGTTTTGACTGTTCGTATTGGAATGATTTCGAACACAATCTACATTACCTCTAGTATTGACGAAATATTTTCAAATGTGACATGCACTCAGTGTACATGTGCTGCTCTAATAGCTGGTGCCGTTGGATGGAACTGTGTGACGAGCAATGATACGTGTGAACTGATTAGCAACTATTCATTGAATAATGGCTATATTGTACGATCAACTAATGGATCATTTTTCTTTCAACAATTCCCATCTCATCTTTTACTAGCAGCAATTGATACAACAGCAGAAATAACATCAACGAGTAAAAATTAGATTGTAGCACGCACTTGAGAATAACTCGCTTTCTATATTGAGTAAACGTTAGCAAATTGAAAATTAAATCATATTTTACGGATCCACATGAATAATATTGACTCCTGAATAGTATTACCATTTGTTCATGTGCATGAATGAGAACTATGGATACACCAAATCAGTCTTTTTATGCAAGTCATAAATTTAAATCGATACTACTTTTAGAATCAATTTCTAGAGCTAGTTGGCGAGCAATTTTTTCTGAGATTAATCCAAAGTTTTCATGTTTATTTATATATTACCAATAGCTATCGTAGCTTTTTTTAAATATAGACAAGTACAACAACAATAATAAACAGTTCATAAAATAGATATGATAAACAAGGATGAAAACCAAGACTAGATGGAGATCTTGTAGTTCCTAAAATAGACATCGAGAAAATTACTCTTTCCAACGGTAAATCATCGAGCTCGATAGCGTCCATCGCTTGAAAGTTTTGCCGAATATAACCACGACCACTGAATTTTGAAATAGATAATAAATGTACGCCTTTTTTGATAGATACACCATCAACAGCGAGTACAACATCGGCAACAAGCATTCCAAGTATGAAAAGAAAACAAAAACGAATATCTTTATCATATAAAGTAGTGGTGTAGTCATGCTCTGATATTGTAAGGATCAGTATTGGAACGAGAGTCCCGTTTTCAATATATGATATATTTGTACATGTTTGACAAAGACAAAGCAGCTTTGATATTAAAAATTGATGAAAACATGATAGAATTTGTTAAAAAGTGATACTACTGTGGAACGAAAAATATCCTGTTAGAGTGGGGCAAGGCATACATCGGTTATGCTCATGATTTTCTCTTCTATTCTACAAAGCTCTCCATTTTTTTATTCACAATTCACAAGTTTGACAAAGTATCGAAGCGTGGCTTTTGTAACTGTAGAGTTTCGGTCTAGAATTACATTCATATAATTATCGAGTCATTTCTAAGCCTTCATTCTGTTTTAGATTAGGGCTACGAGTTATCGTATCATGTTCTTAAAACGAATCCTCAATAATTCAACAAAAACAATTAATGTCTGTCATAAATTTCATTGAGATAATAATTTTCTATTTAACTTGAATCATATTCGACGAGATTGAGAAATTTAGCCTTGTTTTATGCTCTCCTAAATGGAGCAGATTGGACCTAAAAATATGAACTCATGGATCGTTGAGCTTTGGTTTAGCCTAGTCTGTACATGACGTAAATGGTTCATAATCAGCCATGAGTAACCCATCTACTTAGATATTCCCTTCAAAAAGGTTTCACTTTCCATGTTACTCAAAATTATTAATTACC